ACTTGTACTACTATTCCTACTTTGTGGTTTTTCACTTATCGTGGGGCTTCAGGGTACAGATCCCCCATGACAAACAAAGGACTGCTGTATATGTTTAATATAAATCTTAAATCAAACCCAGTCTGAAAAATAAAACTGTTGCAATAATATTTAGTATTGTTGTGAATATTCTGACGGTTTTGTGTCAGTTAGGTGCCTTAATACGGGGCCGAAGTGCGTGTGTACAATTTCATCTCTCTTTTGGGGAAACAGAAATGAGCACATTGCATCCTTTACCACATTCCTGAACAAGCAGAGGCTCAATCACATTCGCAGAAGTTATCAAAACTTTCAAAGGACTCAGCTGGTGCCTTAATCCACAGGAAATTCGCTGGGCCATCTGGAGGGATGTACAGAGATTATTACTCATTTAGTCTGTTCTAGACATCAGTAGGAAGATGTTGAACTCACGCACAGACCTGAGGATGTACGTGCAAACACACAAACAGGCTTGGGCTTTGCCAGAGGTTACCACAGGTGCATGCAACACACCTGTGCATAATCCCCCACAATACCCTCTGGAATCCTGTTTACCCAAACCCCCTTGCTACTCCTATCGTTGCTCATCCAATCAGAAAGCACAGTGCTCCACATATTTTGTCCTGTGGAAAATCAAAGGGCTTTCCATTTTGGCAAATAGCTTTTAAGGAAAATAAAAGCCAGTTAGAAATGTGTAAAAATAAGACTTTAAAAAAATGCCGAGGCAGACTAAGATAATTGGGCCCAGCGGTATCCAAAGCCCGGCAGGTGTTGAAAGAAGTCTCACAACACAGGTACCAGCAGCGACCGAAGCCCTGAACTTCAGCACACGTAGGATTTGACTACCTTGGAGGAATATTGGTGTTTTGTGTTTGGCATGCCTTTTATTGAATAGGTGAAAAATGAGATGCTCACTTCTATTGGCATATTGGACATGCCAGGAAAGAAAGATAAACAGGTGTCAAGAATCCTCAGAGATGTCAACAAATAAACAGAGCGCTTTTCGTTTCATCCTTTCTTGGCATGATAACAATGTCATTCAGTCTTTAAAAGTGATGCCAGCTGCTGGAAACATCTCTCCAGTACAAGAGGGATGTAATTCCCCTACCTGTTGAAAACAGGGTAAAAGCACACACTATCGGCAGAAGGATCAGAGATGAAATCTTGTTGGAAGAGAAAAAGCACGGATGTTTTTGCTCTTTAATTTCATTAGTGAATCATAAGGCTACCCGAGTACTTCTAGCCATTTCAAATGAAGAGGTAAAAACCAGGCATGAGCTTTAATGATAACATTCTTTCTAAAAGAAAAAAGCATGTACTATCCTTACCATTATCTGCAAGCCAAGGGCTCTGTTCCAATTAAAGAATACCACAGATGGACCATTCAACATGCATGCACACAAACGAACCTACAATAGGTACAGTAAAGTACCCAGTATTACAGAGCCCAGAGAAGAGCTTTTTACTTTAAAAACTATTTAATCAGGAAAATCAACGCCTCACATCAAAGAAATGGAGATGAGGGACAGGCGGATAAAGAGGCTCATCAAAGAAGGAGATCTAGTTAGGGATTCAACGCCCTAATTCCCTTTCTCTTAAAACCATAGTCAGAGGGGGCACTGGGCCAATTTGCTCCCTAAATGGCTGCGTGTGAATGTGCAGATTGCTTTGCATAGCCGCTGGGAATGTGGGCTTCTTCCTTTTTCTTCACACGGAGCCTGCGAATTAGAAAAGATCCAAAGACAGATAGGCTTAACTGAGCCCCAGCTACCTTCCTTAAGTCCAGAACTCTGTTCCAACTTCCAACTAATTTAATACATGTCCTAACTCAATTAATAGACTTTAATACAGTGTTTCTTCTTTATCTCTCCTCTTTCCTGGGGATTGGGGACTTCAATTAGAGTTGCAGAGTAATATTGGCAAAAAGGTTTGGATTTTACGTCTGTCTGAATGTTAAGACAATGACATGTCCCCGAGGCATTAAGGTAGATCATATATGCATCCTTAATCTCAAACATCTCCCTAATCTCACTTTCTGAGACATTAATGTAATGTACTGCATAAAATATTGACAACCAGTCCTTCCTGTCTTGGGCTTTATATGCATTAGAGTTGAATTCATTAGTCAAAATGTCCTTGATGTGAAAGAGGACCTCTTGGATTCCACAGGATGAGCCCCACACTTTTATTTTTCTTCATATTTGTTACCCTAATCATCATCTAGGATTTTAACACTCACCTCTAAGCCATGGAGGGTGTATTTCAGCACTTCTATGGGTGTTGTAAATCATACTAATGATGTTGGCCTTGCATTATCCTAAAGGACATAAACTGTAGAGAACTGCAGAAGTTCTAGGACAAATAAAGATTATATTGATCAGTAACATAAATAATTTAAAATCAGCACTATTAGTGCACCCACCCAGTACTATTTACAATACTCGTGCACCACAAATGTTTCATCCTCTCCAACCAACAAAACACAATCTCATCTGTGTGGAAAATGTCTTTCTGAGCTGGTAGATCTGAGACCAGCTCCCCCTCAATCAGCTCTCTATCACGCCTGCAGTTCCAATTGATCGCTTTAGCAATCAGCAATTAAGTACTAGTGATCAGAGCAGGAAAAAAGTAGAAGGGGTGGGATGAGGAGGTGGGAAACCACAACCCCCCTACCCTTCCTATCCTGCCCGCATCCCTCTCCTCTCTCGTCAGCCGAGGAAAGGCTTCACTCAGCTGGGGTGAGTTTGGCCTGGGGCTGGGCTCACTGGTGGAGGTTAACTCCAGCATAAATAAGCATCTTTGGACTCATTACAGGGATTAGAGAGTAATTCGCCTGCGAGGAAGGAGACGACTGCTAGGGTTTTGGTACAGTTTACTACAGTCTTATAGGGGCGAGGGCCCTTGAGATTACAGAGGGAGAGAGATGGAAAGGCAGCAAAAGAGAGAAAGGCCAAGGGAAAAGAGAGGATGGCTGTCAAGTGTGTGCGAGTCAATCCAAGCCCCCGGCTGCCCCCTTGATCTTGAGCATGTTGGGGTACTGTGAAAATGGATAATAGGAGTTAGAACGACCAGGCCTGTCTAGAGAGAAGCGTACTGATTGCTATAACTTTCCCTCATTGCTCTCTCCTCCACTTAACTAAATAAACACCCAAGAGGTAGCACTCTATCAATTTTAATGATGTTGAAATACAATTTAGGCACAAAATACACAACAAATGCTAATTTGGCTATGATGAGAGGCATCAGAAATTCCTCCCATTATTTATTCAGCTGACTTTCTGCATTTTTCATCAGAACAAATATTCCCATTTCAACAAACACACGTGCACGCGCACCATCACAGAACCAATTTGGAGCATAAATCAACACATTCGCTCATCAAATATATGCTCTCTGTGGTTCTCTGTAGTCTGTCCAGGGCACCAAAGACAAATAGTTCCAGCCAAAGTCCAGCCAGAGAAACAGAGGGCACAGAAGTCTGTCAATATATGCACACATACATTAATCCAAGTAGCTCAGTGTGTGCTCAGAAAAGTTTATTCATACACTCCGCTCTATTCGAAAAACTAAATCTTTCAAAACAGAGCAAACACTGAACTAATTATTTTATCGGTAATGCGATCTTAGATTTAGATCAATGTATTAGTTCCTGCTTAGCAGAAGAGCTCATCAATGGCCTACAAGTTGAACGTCCACCTTGATTGCCTCAGGTGTCCCTGCTTCTGCCCCACATTTGGGACAAGTAAGGCAAGAGTCTGCAATGATGTTGCTTTTGATGCAGTAGTAGCAGAAAACATGCTGGCAGCCCACTGTATGAGGCATAGTAGGCCAATCGCCGCACAGTCCACACTCTTTCCATAGGTCTTTATCTTCTCTTGCTGCTTCATGAGCACGTTTCCCTCCGAACACAAGTGAAAATAGAGTTGCTTTCAGTTTCCTCGTGTTGATCAGTGGTAACAGGAAGATGAGGAATTCAGCAAAGCCATGCCACAGAAGTTCTCGGTTCATATACTGGTAGGTTACATCCCTAACTACATTGGGTTTACTAAAAACTGCCTGAGCGCCTAGAATTCTTTCAGCTAGAACAGGATGACGGCCATTCCTTAAGAAAACAAGGAAGTTGATGAGACTCGCTAATTTTGTGAAACCAGAAACAAAAGTCAGGGCGTTGCGGAGACTCTGCCGGAGCAAACCTTCGTCTCTTTCAGACACAGAGCCTCTTAAACTCAAACCCAAGCATGGCAGGAGGCGGTGAGAGTGCTCCTGGAGCCAGCTGGGACCTGCAGTGAGGATGGCCAGTCCTATCTTTTGCTTGGAGGAGAGAGGCCTGTACTGTGGAGATGATGTAGATGTGCTGTGATAGCGCAGGCTCAGTAAAGACTGGCCCACCGTGGCACTGTTGGAATACAAAGTGAACCTCCACACCAACAAGTACAACAACACTTTCAGTTCGGACTCCACAGGGGTGAGCAGACCTGGGCGGCAGTTCTGGAAGCACTTAGTAAACTGGGTCCAAAGCAGTTGCTCAAGGGCTGAGTCTAGCTCAAGGGCATCCAGCTGGCTGATGCGCAACACCGGGGTTTGTGGGCTATCCGGAGAACCTGAAGCTGTTCTTTTTGGGTTGCCTTCTTTTTCCAAACCTGTTGGAAAAACATCAACAAGAACATGAAGATATTAAGCATGCTTTCAGAATGTTGATAATTCAATATACACACAATGAAGATGGAGAGAGTGACAGTGTTCTTTTAATAACTTAACTTTGTTACGGCTGAGATACTTTAAAAAAAAAATTATATACAAAACATAGAGTTGAGAATGTAAACTTTGCAACAATAACATTCTTCTGATGTGGACAAAGACAATTACACATGATTGGATTAAAATAAAGACAATTTCAGGGTCAAGTGAAAACAAGACAGTAATTAAACACGTTCATTGTAATGACATTATTACTAAATATATTATCAACAGGCAACTTGACATTTGATCTGTTTCAGTCATGAAAAAAAATATATACGGACACTTCTATGAAAGGACAACTCTGTCAGTGGAAGGAAAGGGTCTCTGAAAGGGAAGCCCATCCTGTTAGAAAGGTTATTTTCCTTTACATAGAAACGGAAATCACTTTTCACATGTAAAACCCGTCCTTAATGCAAGCTTTGAGCCACGGCATATGGAGGAGCAGGGGGTCTTAGAATGCTTTTTCCAGTGTATAAACACACACGATCCCACACACTACACACACACACACCCTTACACAAGAGGTGAAGCCAAAGGGGCCCTTGGTGCCTGCTCCCTCTGGAGATAGGGGTGTGTGTACAAATCACATCACTAGGGATTAGGCTAACGGCACAGTCTCTGGTACACCGTAAACATTTGCCAAATGTGGAACAATATTTACCCCTCCATAGATTCAACTCCATACGGGATCTTACCATTGTGTCGTCTGGGCCATTTTGCGCTGCATACGTTTCTAAAGTGCTCACAGTTCTCTAGTTTTATCTGCCCTTTCCCCAATCGAAATGCTTAAGAAGTGGAAGACTAACAAACGGAAGGAGAGAGACGAAGAAGGCCACGGACAGAAAGAGGGAGAGAGACACACGGAGGCCTTTTTTTGACAGTAGCTTTTGTGTCTCGATGAACAGGATTTGTCACGAGGCTTTAAAAGAGATTTCCGCGGGGTAAATATGGCAGTTGTGACAGAAAGAGAGAGAGATGATGGTCACTTTAGATGTTTCTCAAGGAGGTTAAAAAAAGCCTTGCATTCGGAAGCGATGCTGGGGTCCTATTGTGGCGTACAGGACCATCTGTGTATTCAGACACCTAAATAGAGCAAGGATGCACCTTCCAACTAAGTTGGAATTAGCAAATGAATGAAAAAAGTGAATTTAAGCTGAAGTAAGCAGGTATGACAAATTCATTGAGCTGCATTTGAAATGCTGCCATGTTGGGTGACTAGAACCTCATCTGTGACAGGAGTGGAGTTTGGATTAAAAAAATAAATAAGAGAAGTAGTCGGAGTGTGTGTGCAAACCAATAAACAGGCTCTGTTTGTTCAGCTTAATCTGAAAGTTTTTCTTTGATGGTAGAAAATGTGTGCATGTGTGTCTGGCTGCTACGTGCATATGTCAGGGATAGCTGTGGTCTATGCAGAGCTTTAATGCAACCCAAAACCAATCTATCAGTCCATAGTTGCGCACGCACACACACACAGCCAGGTGGTGGAAATCCTCGTCACAGCAGCAGCTCTCTCGGGAGAGTAAACCCGGCTGGGTCCAATAGTCTTTTCAAAGCCTTTTATCGAGCAGTTTACAAGTTATGAATGAATATGTTTTATTTGGGGAAACACAGTATTGACAACTACCTATCAATAGTAATGTGACTATTGTCAAGGGTCTGTCAATATTAATGTAATTATGATGTAGCAGGATCAGAGGGAGGCTGGAGTTGAGGGCCAAGTAACATCTCCTGCCCACTGCCATATCAATAGCTGGGATTGTTATTGACAGCTTCCCTTCAGACTTGCAGCACTTGCCAAATATATAACAAGCAGGCACTTCTGTCAATGCCGGGCTGCCTATAAAAATTAGGCATTTGAATTTACATGACTTTTACTGTGGACAGCTGGAAATCCATGTTCCTTATGTAATACTCAAAAGTCACGGTCAATGCAAGCATTTACACAGCAGTGGCAGTGCATTGTGTGTGTGTTTGCACACACAAAGTGTGCGGAGACGCAAGCTAGGAAACTAAAACTTTTACACGTATACACAGATTAACTTCACAATATTTTAGGACAGCTGATACACCAACATCTCATCTCTCATACACACCCACAAACACACACAAATTGGGGAAATGAAGGCTAATATCAGATTTAGAAGTTGATCAATACGCATTCTCTATGGTCGATGCCAAGAATATCTTTATAGAAATCAGGACAGCTGTTGGCCACAATACAGCATCACACTTTGGTCAGTTTTGTATTTTTCATTCAACAAAATACCACAGCATTTGCTTTTTGCTAGATTTGCTATATTTACTCATATAAAAGTATATTTAACAGTCCTTAGAAGAACTTGTGCACTTAAAAATAAGATTAAAAAAAGTATTATTACCCCCCAAAATAAATACATTTGTGGTAACCGCACCGACTGACAAACAGTGGCATTATTAACGTAGCCCTCTGTTATCACCCCCCCACCCAACGATCACAACATCGGTCACGTAATGCTCAGCTCTCCTCCTCCCATATGACAAGTGCCCTGCTAATACCAGTTATCTAGGGGAAACACTGTATTGCCGATTGCACAATTATTTTGAAAGTGGCCAATATCTGCTGGTTAAAACCAGTCTCTCCCTAATCGTTCTATTAGTGTTTGATAAAAAATTACCTGAAAATTAAGAGGTTTTGGTGTTCCATCACAGCTAATAAAACACATTCCTGAAAACGTTAAAATTATATATTTTTGTTCAGACATAAAATATCCAATTTGTATTGCATCAGCATGCGTATCTTTGACAGACAAAGATAGCACAGTGACTCAAGGCTGACTGCCACAGCTTGCCGAAAACGGCAACAACAATGAGTTTAATGTGGAACCCACTGTAACACTGCTCCAAGGCAAATGGGCCATGGCCAGTGTGAGGAAGGAGAGACCAGGGTACAAAAGCATGTAGAGCATCAGCCTGAAGCCTAGGAGCAGAAACGGGTCCTCTGAAAGCTAGACAATGGGCTTGTGTGGCAGCTACCCTGAAGAGACAAACGGACAAAAGGTAGACACGTCAGACAACGCGTCATGAAACTGCCAGCTGGGAGCTCGGAGTTATCGTTTAGTGATACAGTGAACCCCCCCCACCCACGCCAAAAAAAAAGGCTGAAAAGATAAGTAAGGTGAAAAAAATAGGGGAGGGGGGACAGATAAGCTCAAACCTCTCCCTGGGAGCTGACCTTGAGACTGATGGTCACAACAAAGGAGGAGGGAACATTCCTGAAGCACACACACACCTCGGCCATACTGAGGTGCGGGCATCCAGGGAATAGTCTATACAGACGAAGAAGGTACTTTTTTCTTGACCTTGGCTTTGGTGTCTGGGGAGGGGGGTGGGGGGTGTTTAGAGCAAGGGACTAAAGACTGGAGGATGCAGGAAAGATTGAGAGTCTCTGGGGAACAGCATTTTTTTTTTTTTCTACTGCAGACATGCTACAAAGCCACTCACGGGGCTATCATGCCATGCCACTAGAAACCGTGCACCTAAAAGTCTCAATTCAGCTGCGTATGTACTGTAGCGCTCAAATTAGCGAGCACTTAGCTATGGTTGTTAGCATAATGTATTGCCGAAATGATGCAGAAATGCTCACTTGGTTTTACACGATGCTTGAAGAGTAAAATAGGCATGTTGAATTGCAACTTTACATTTCTTCTTTTGTTCATATAATTAATTTATCTAAAAGCAATGGTTAAAAAATAAAATAAAAATCTGAGCACTTCGGGGTTTTTATTTTTTTTATTTTTACCGTCATCTTTCTCATTTTATTGCCCTTCTTTCGCCAAGAAGAAGCGAGCGGCTTTTAGCCAAGCCTTGCTAATGTCCTCACTATGAAAAAGGATGAGAATGTCAGATTTAGAACTTTTAAAGGGAGTGATGTCATGAAGCAGACCACAGGCATTACAGGGACACTAAGATCACCCAGGCGGTAACCAGACTAATTGTTATGAGTGTTTCATGAAAAATGAATGTGTGGATGCAAAGATGGGTCTTTCAGTTGTGTGTGCATCACAGACTAATGCTTTATCAAGGCTCCCCTCTTTCACTAATCACCCACGACTCCTCCGAGCCACGGGGTGAAAGCCAACGTAATGCCTGAACACACACACACACATCAGTTAGAACCACACATCTGACTCACAAGAATGCGCTTGGCTTATTTAGTTTGCTCAGGAGGTAAATTATTTAAAAGAATTAATTGATTTCATGAGTACGAAGGTTGAGAATGCTAAAACCGTATGAGTAATACGTACAAGGGTTTGCAGAAAACAACTTAAAAAGTCATAAAACATTAAAGAGGAGAAAAGCACAACGAATGTGGAGAAAACAACAGAACGGATAATAAATGCAAGAACTGTAGTTGTGTCTTTCTTAGGAATCAATGAGAGCAACTCATGCAAATAAATGTGTTATCCCGTTGACTACTTGACCTGCATCTTCCCCCAACTCTCATTTTACACGAGAAACGATCATAAAAAAAGTGTCTGCATTTTAGACTCAACTATTTAAACATACGCGGGATAGAACGTTGTAAATTAGGAGAAAGGTGCTCTTTGTCTGCTCAAAAACAAAATGAAATGTGAAGGTTACAGCAGGATGAAAGAGTTCAGAGCTTGTCAAAACTACACAATGGAAATACTTTTAAAAGTTTTTCATTCAATATCTATATTCAGTTTAAAAAATATATACACAATCTTTTGGGCAATGTGCGCATTAAAATCGACTAAAATGGAAGTATAAAAGAAATCAGGATAGTTCAAAATGATTAACTGTGTTGATTGTATTAAACTTTGTAGCATTCTGTGATTTGCAGTGCACAAGTGTTTTAACGGAACTGAAATTGAACATTATATTGTTATTAAACGAAGAG